AACACTTGCACATTAATTAAGCCTACCGGCGCGCTGCTATAACCTCCATTATTTCCCCACTGCTACCAGCGCACATTTGTGGCAAAAAAAAATAAGAAAATACTTCAACCTAACACTTCAGGCAATTCTGTCACTTTTTTTGTGTGCTTTTCATTTTTACATATTTTCATTTCTTTTTTGTTTGCCGTAACGACAGCCTTTGGCAACCGATTTTTTTCGGTAATGGCTGCTTTTTGTCTCTTTATGCGTTTTCAATGCGATTACTTTGCTGCTCTCAAACCCACTTATACCACTCGCCACTTGTGCCCTGCAATTGTAAAGATTTAAATAACGCTTTTCCATTGTTGTTGTTGTTTTTGTTGTTGCAACCCTTAAAAAGCGCGCGAGCAGCCCATTCATTCATTTGAATGCACTCAAGTGTCCACTTCAAGTGTTTGTGATGTGGCAACACAATCGAGTAAAAAACCCAAATGAGTTGAATTGCACTTGCAACAGCTGCATTGCAATAAGCAGTCGTGCAATTGCATAAAATAGTACTGCATAAAAATACTGCTTAAATTTAAACACAGTACATATGTATGTGTATAGCGTCACCACTATAATGCGTATAAAGGCAGCCGCTTTCACCAAACTGTGCCTCTAGTTGGCAAATTATTGCAAAAAAAAAAATGTTAAGTGTTGTAAGTGCGAATATTTATTCCACTTTATTTCGTGGCAAACTGCACAAAAAGGCCAGCTGAAAATCTGCGCAAATACTTGCACAAACAGCTAATAAGTATGCAACAAAAAACTTGTTGCCAATTACAAAAACCGTCACTTTAATGCAAACGTTTACAGTTATGCGATGCAAGCTGGCATGTCCGTTCGTTTGCCTATGAAACTATGTATGCGTGCATGCATGTACGTACTATATTATGCAGCACATTTCCGCTTGCCACACATACTCGACCGCTTTGTGTGCCACTTTTCTTCCCTTTGCACTTATGTAAAGAAATAATTTTGCTCTTTCTAGCCTTTGGCGTGCTGTGCTCCTTCACAGCCATTTAAGTTTGCATGCACTTAGAATGTATAGTACACACACAGAGTTGCGCATACTTAATGTGACCAACTATTTTATAGCTCAAAGAAGTACAAAAACTGAAAACCAAAAATAGTATGAAAGTAATGAGAAAATGGTAAAAGCAGAATATACCAAAAACGGTAACAGTGTACAAATTCAACAAATAAAATTTATTAATTAAAAATCTATACTATTTATTATTCTAAGACAAGGCGCCTATTCCCAGCGATCTACTAATCGTACAGAGACGAACATTTCAGATTTAAAAATCATTAGACTACTTTTTAAATATTTTCATGGAAAAATGTTTAAAGTTTTACATTGAAAAAAACGTTCATTTCAATAGGCAGCAACTGCGGAGCGCTCTAAATATGGAGTAAAAAAAGGACGCCCACAGCAACCCCTGGAAAGAGCGTTGTCGGAGCGCTCCGAATATGGAGTGAACTCCCACGTTAACACCTCGAATGACTGTTTTCGGAGCGCTCCGAATATGGAGTGAGAAATACGAAAATTTTTGAGTTTAGTGTTAGTGTGTTTCCTTTTTTAGTTTAAAGACACCAAATCTGTAAATCTTAAAAAAAATCGAAGCTAAATCAATAGCAATCGTAAATATTTTACCAACTTTACAAAAATGGAAAAAATCATGGCACAATGACAATCGTAAGCGAGCACATGTTTGCAACAAATTTTTGACACCGACAGATTTTTCCCACTCTGCGCTAAAATAAGGCACATTAAAAAGGGAAATGAAATTTCGTTATGATTCAGGTGCCAAGCAGTCTGAAAGAAAAGTTCTTTATGGCCCTTTAGTTCACGAGACTGCAGTGTAGATTTATACTACCACATAGTTCATGAAACTTAATTTTTTGTTTTTGCTTTCGTTTGACAGGAATTGTAGAAAAAATTATGCAAAACAAAGAAAAATTTAACATATTAACAGTCAGGAAAAAATTTAAAAATTTTGCATGGATCTAGGCGAAGCGGCAACGCGTCCAGCGCAAATTAGAAAATAAGAACAAGAGTTTTAACTTCGCTTGGACGTAAATATTTGTATTTATATAAAACAGAAAAAGTCGACCGTTGAGCAAAAAACATTGATTTTTATTAATTTAAATCAGCATCCATACAAAAACAATTTTTATGCATAGCTAAACACTTGGTGTTTTTTTTTTTTTGAGAAAAACGCGTTTTTTCTTGGGATTTAGTGCTTTTTCAACTTCGAAGCTTGGCAATACTGGTTATTTTGTTATCTTTTTCTTTTTATTTAGTCTGTAAATTGAAAAAGAAATTTTCGGTCCAGAAGAAACTGTTTGTGGTCACCGAATATTCCCGAAAGAAACACCGCAAAAACAAACTGTTGACTTTATGGCAGTTTTAAATGCATTTGGAGGGGAACAATAATGCCTAATTACTTCTGTCTAGCTTTAGAACTTTTCAGATGTATTTAATAGAAAATATGCTGGATCTGGTAAAAAATTCCATAGATCGGGGCAAACTAAAAGGAACGTATTTTAAACATGATAAAAAATAGGTTTAACCTTTTCGGTCTATTATCGGACTCCGCTGGTGTACTGGGAACAATATTTTTGAACAATTTAATTTTTTTTATTCAGTTTTACATATCGACTGTTAAGTGGAAGATCGACCTATCTCGGCAGCCGGTTGGAAAACGCCCTATCCCAAAAACCTTTTCAAGAACGCCCTATTTTAGAATTTTATTGAAAAACAAGCTATCACAGAGGTACGATGCACAACGGCTCAAAAAAAGTACTGTACTTCCGAAAGAGGTACGGTTGGTCACATTACACATACTACTTGCCTACTCCACATACTTATATATGCACATACATATGTATCACACAGGACTCAGCCATTTATGCTCTATGACTAGCACTAACTCATATCGAATATTTGCATTTTAAAGTCGAGTACATTAGATGCAGACAATCGGTGTGTTTGACGCACTGCTGACTTGGCAATTTCGTACTTCCCATTGACTCCTAATATTTACATACTTTACATGGTGCCATAAGGGTTTTCAGCAACCTGCCATAAATTTGGCACTTTTCTTTTTAGGTTTTTTTTTGTTTTGTAGTTTCTGGATATTACTTAGTAAATTTCATGCGCAATCGAGTTTTGCCGATCCAAGTGATTTTCGCAAAAACAAAAAGCCAACGAAAATTAGCATTTTGCTTTTCAAGCTGAACTGAAGCAGAGGAAGGGCTTTATGCTTTATATGCAGAGTGAGTTTAGGCATCCAAAATTGGAAAGGAAAATTGACAAGTTAATTTAAAAGCACAATTTGCTTTTACCTTTATCCCTTTTTTTGAGTACACTGGTTTTTATTGAGCGCTAGGCTTTATTAAATGTATGGATTTTTCTTGCCGTATATGTAAATAAGTGCAGGTAATCACTGGCAGGTACTTTGCAGGAGACAGAGCTATTCAGCCACTAATCGTCATATATGTATGCATATAAGGAGTGCACAGGCAAGGTAGAATAGGTGAGCAAATATATGTGTGGAACTGTGAAAAATAAGGGTGCTGGTGAAAGGCGTTACTAAAAAAAATAAATTAAAAGCTTTTTTCGGTATAATTAATCTGTTCCATTTTTTGTACTGGCTGCCAAGTTTTTCCATTTTAATACACTATCCGATTCTTAAGCAGTGCCATGCAGTTTTCGATACGACTCGACTCTCGTTAAACGACTTGCATTCGACAAGACATTCGCAATGAGGCTGATTATAGGTATAGTAATCAACACGAACTTGCAATTTATTACACTAAAATTTAATGAACCCTAAAACTGCATACCGAAAACTTTTTTAAAAATCTAAAAAAAAAAATTATTTTGGTGAAATTTGGAACAGGAGCATTGATTTTCTTCAAAATTTAAAAAATTTAATGGAATCAAACAAAAATTCAAAAATCGGCCTCAACCGGTTACTTGAAAATTTTATAAGCTTTCATTAAAACAAAAAAATTATCTAATTGAGTAAGAAATGAAGGCCCAAGTGAATTATGAACACTTTTGAAACACTATGCGACGGTTATGTGACTCTAATTGTAATTTCATATTAACATTGTACTATATTTGTATGAAAAGGGACAATACTTTCACACACACATTTCATAAACGATATATGTATGTACATACACTTCTGCAAAAAGTATTGACATAGCTGCTTTTTTACAATATATGCAACAATTTTTTTTGTAATAATTTTCCAACAATTTTTCATAAAAATACGGTTCATTCCACAACAAAAAACACAAAAATGTGATTTATAAACTTTGTGCAAAACTCGCGAAAATTTAGCAAATTTTCGAATTTATAAACCGAATTTTTTGAGTATGCAAATTTTTGTTAGCCCATCAAATTCTAGTATAAAAAGTGCAAGTCCGAAGTTAGTCAAAAATCGCATTGATTTTTGAGAATTTTTTTTTGTTTAAGGTGTTTTGCATGTTTTCCATACAACGTATTTTCGAAAAGTTTTTTTGTATGGAAGAGACTGTGGAAAAAAAATTTCCAAAAATCAACGGTAATTCGTAGTCACTTAGAGCTTCTACTTTATTAAAATAAAATTGATTGAGATACATATCTGCATACTCAAAAATTCTAGAAAATCGGACTTAAAAAGTTGAAAACTTGCATGAAAAGTTGCTGAATTTGCGCGAGTTTTGCACAAAGTTTAGAAATTATATTTTTATGTTTTTTGTTACGGAACAAAGTATGTTTTTATTAAAAAAATTTCGGAAAAATATTACAACAAATTTTTTTGTATAATTGTAAAAAAGCATCTGTGCCAATACTTTTTGCCGGCAGTGTACATATATTTCATATTTATGCCACTATTTTGTACGGCTGGTTACCGGTCAAATTTCGACATTAAGAAATTAATGAAAACTCAATATTTCCTTTAATTTTTTTTTATTTTCAGGAATGCCAATTTCAATTCAAAAATCGCCGCTGGAACTGCAGCACTACAGACGATAACACCGTATTTGGTCCGATAACAGGACTGGGTAAGTAATTACATACACACAAACATATTTAAAAATATACCTTAAGTAGCTTGTCATAAATCAAGTGAGTGTATTAAACCAAGCCTAAGGCAATCTATCTTCTTCAAAAATCAAATCTCACCTGCCGTTAGCCATTTTGTGCGCCTTTAACCCGAGAGCCAAGAATTTATCAAATTAAATTATTATGATCAACTCATCAAAAGGCAAAATAGCCAAATTACTCTAATCAATTTTAATTCCATTAACCAAAAGTTTCGCATGTACCTTGCGTGTATATATATGTTGTATGTCTATGCATATGTTTGTATGTGTATGCACGCTACTTTTATTCCAGTACGCATTTGTACCCGCTTTTAGTTGGCTTCCAAGTTTGACTTAATTAAATGATGAATATTATTTCCTGTCTGCAAAGTTGCGCTAAAAACAACGAACAAGCTGCAGTACTTAGTAGCAGTAGCATTTGCGAAACAAAACAACAACAATGGCATTAGCAACAACAACATCGCCGTCAGTAATACAAAGCGGCGACGGCGGCGGCTCAAATACAAAGTCTGAATTGTTTGCCCTTTTTCGGCTACCAGAGACTATTCACCGACTCTGCGTTGAAACATCAGCCTTGTAAAATAAACTTCAAAAATACTGGCCGGTAAGAGTGAGCTTCGTTTATCTAACGACATAATCTGCGTGGAGGACGAACAAAAGTGGCTGATAGTCCCACAGAGTAGCATCATTGAGATGAAAGGATAATGAAATGGAGTTTGTATGAAGTAAAATTTGCAAAGCCAGCAAGCAGCACAGGAAATAGAGTATATATGACAGGCGGGCATTGTGCTCTGGCTCTGGTTGGTTGTGGAAAATTGTCAAGAAAAGTCGAAGTTTTCACTGCACAGAAATTAGTGTATCAGTATGCGGCAGTGTTTGAAACTCGTATTACTCCTTGAATCGCACGCCGCTCACTTAATGACTTTGTTTGGATTTACGAGTGCCTACCTTTAACTTGTCGACGGTTGCTTGTTTTGGTTTATTGTTCTACCTTAATTGATTTGACGCTATTATGTTGTTGTTGTATGTATTTCATTTTGTTGTTGCTATTATTGTTTGTCTGCGGAACTGTCTAGTGGTAATACACGCCTGTTGGCTGTTTTCTACTAGCCACTTTAATAAATTAATTAAAAGTTTAGCTTTTAAAGATGCAGTTGACATTGTTGGTGTATTAAAGGAGAGTACCCATGTACACTAATACACGGTAATTTTAAAATGCTTTTCAAGGCTTGTACTGAGCACAACGATCGTAAAGTGCAAAATTTCATTTCGCTTCAGCAATGTCAGAGATTTAACATTTTTATAATTAAAATATGGAAATTCTTCTAAAATATTTAATTGGAGTGGTATTTTTTGATTTCACTGAAGAGATTTGGGGAATGTTTTCCAAGTTTCTAGTTAAATGGGTATTATAAGTATATTTATCTTTATGAGAATAAAATTAGTTTTTGTAATAACTATAAGAGCAAAATGAATTGGATTTATTTACATAACTCACTGACAGTAATGGTGAGGGGACTTCGTTGAGCACTTAACTTAAGAAAATAAGATGTTTTCGTAATAGAGGAAAGACAGTGAAGTGCGATCTTCAATAATATCTAGCAACGCACAAATAAGTTCAGGGTTTTAAAGATACTTCTGTTTTTCCCCTTCTAGCACTAAATGGGGTTCAATTGGCGTCAAATTGCAATGAGAATTGTACCTGATACCACTAGTAAGTTACTGCGTTAGCAACTTTCTGAGCTGGATCTGGGCGGAGTAATTTTTATCGGAGCAAAAAATTTCGAAGAAAGTGTATACCAAATTAAAATTCTACGATTAATTCTAAACAATCATGGCGAACGAACCACATACATACCAAAAATTTTCAAAAAAAAAACTGTATATTGTAACTTTTTTGGTCGAAATTTATTATTCATTGCACTAAAAAATGGTGTACGAAATAAACATGCATAACGAACTAGTTAAGTAGTTTCTTAAATATGAAGAAAAAACACACTTTTGTAAATTAAAAATTGATTTTGTTCAAAAAAAAATTATAACACACTGATTGTTCTTTTAAAAATTGAGAGGGTCAAACGTTTTTTTTTGGTATATAGTTTGTTCACCATTTTTGCTTAGAATCGAACGTAAAATTCGAATATACCATAATAATAATAATTACCTAAAATTTTAAATGACTAATGACTTTGGTTTCAGTGCTCCCATTCAGTAAGGTTCAGTAGTGTTATTTCTCTGGGTTCTTTTTCATTGAAATCTATGCCTTTCAAAAGGGTTGTGAAATATATTTTGAATATGTACACGTACTCTGGAAGAAATAATATGCAAAATTGTAGAAATAATATATAAAATTGTAGCCGCATTCCTTCCTGACAGCATTTCTAGCCCTTCGCACTCCTGTTTCTCTTTAAAATAGTCCTTCCTACCCCTCTTCTCCCGTTATCCCCCAATTGTTGCTTGCGTAGCTGTTGCCTACGTTATATCTTTGTATGACGCATTTTTCTCTGCAATAGTAGCACAGTACTTTTCGTCCAGCTTATTAGCTATGTTTGCGTGATTGGTAGCAGGTAACCACTTCTTCCTGGAAGACGGAATCTCACTGCTCAATCATACTTAGTATACAGGCTTTGAAAGATGGCTTGTTTAAGCAAAATTATGAGCGAGGTTCAAAATTACACAGGTGATCGTAGTCGCAGGCGGCTCTTTACTAACTTTTTCGTTCTTTGATATTTTTGATGTTTCGGGGCTCGTGCTTGATACTAACAACATCCATGTCCGTGCCGCGGAGAAGTCGATAGCCTATTTCCTTTATCGGTAGTATTGAAGCGAAGTTTGGATTTTCCGATTTGAGCAGTGCCTGTCTCCGTTTCTTCCAGGCGCTGATAAAAGAAACTTTTTGCTTTCAGCGTAGTACTTACGCCTTACATCCACTTCCCTGCTCCACCAGGGATCTGCACCGTTCTTAAAATTAGAACCCTACTGAAAGAACTCCGTACACTTTTGGGCAGATTCACTGGCAAATTCATTTCATCGATTGACTTTATGAAAGTTAACAGTAATTCTGCTTTTGCTTTAGCCAGATATTTGAAAAGGTCCGAATTTTTGTGTTTTTTACGGGAAGGTCAATTTGCGGATCTCTGATTGTAAAACCTTTATTCTTTTGCAAAAGATAACCTAGAAAGGTTCTAACTCCCTTTACTGATGCTGCCTCAAAGAACATGAAGAACAAAAATTATGGATTCCAAACTTAAAGTTAGCACCCCAGTAAGTAATTATTAGACTGCGGATTTTTATGCAGAAAACGGGGCCTGAAAGTATGTACAACTTAACTATAAACAAATTTATACAAATTTATACACTTTGCTTATAGGTATGTGGTACATATTTCTATTCTTCGTTTTCTGCATAAAAATCCACAGTCTAGTAATTATGTATATGATTTGTAGAACTCCTTTTGTCATTTAGATTGTAGAGCAAAAACAAAACATCTAACAGCTTTCAGTTTATTTATCTAAAGTTTTATATTTAACAAGAAACAAACAAAAAAAGGCAGACCATTTTCAAACCCATTCGTCCAAAACCAATAAAAACGATTTTAACTAAGTCTAAGCGTTGTAAATTGCCTTCATACTTAAATAAAAGGAATTTATGTGAAACTCAAAAGACAAGCAGAAGAACAAGTGGTCGACCGAGCAATGTTTAAAGTCCTTTTTACGCTTGTGTTAACTTGCCACACATATATAAGTATTGGGTCATATGAAAAGTGGCTGCGGTTTTTTGTCACTATGTTGTATTGGTAGCCATACATCTGGCAACACTAATCCAATTGCGTTAAATTGATGTGCGTTTGAAAGGTGAGATTTTAGACTACATTTTTAGTGAAGACAATTCTTGTAATTCGCCGCTCGCGAAAAAATCTTTTGATGAATTATTTTGATCGAATTTCCGTCATCCCTTTTCAGATTTTGCTTGACTAACCAGTTTTGGCGTTGGTATTCACCAAGTTGAGCAAGTGACCTGGCACAAAGGCAAAAGAGCAGATTAGCTCAAGCAACGACTGTTCCCAGAGTGCCAGGCCACTTGCTCAATTGGTTGAATACCCCTTGTATTTTAAACTCAAAAACAAAAACTCTATTTAGCTTGCCAAATAGAGGGGAGAGCTGTCGTAGAATTTTCGATCTGGTTGCGAAGGACTGTGTACACGGCGAAAATGTCTCGCGAAATAACTCTCACGTAGAATGTGCAGTAGGGTTGGCCAAAAAGAGTAAAGTCGGAATTTTATTGCTCTCATGCCCCAGGATTGTCCTACGTCAAAAAAAAATTTACTCCTACTTGTTTAGTTTGAACAAAAAAAAAAAAATTTAGAACTCGCTCAAAGCGCTTAAAGTTTTCCATGTATTTTAAATGGCGAAAAAAACTTTTCATAGAAATAGTATGGAATACTTGAAAATCAATTTTTTTCGATCGGTTCGAATTCTGGTTAAACCACAGAATTTAAAGTACACCGATGGAATTATGAAAATCTACGAAAACTGCAAAAATAATAATGGCATAGATGCACTTGATTAAAACTGATTTTCAATATTTTTTTTTTTCAATTTTCTTAAAAATCCGCAGAGACTTTTCATATGACCCAATCTTTAATACTTAAATGCTTTAAAATAAATTTCAAAGTGTACGCCAGACTTGAAAATGGATATGCATACATACATACGTTCCTACACACACAAGTCAGTATGTATTCAAAAATTGGATGAATGTATTTATTGCTTTTGCCGTCGTCCAACCATTGTGTTGAGCATTTTAGGCATTCTCTTTGTAATTATTTTGGGTGTAATGTAATAAATGGTCATGAAATAGGTAACAACTCATTCCTTGGCCAGAATTACAAATTTAACGCTTTAAAAGTTCATTTAAGCCTTTCACAAAGACAATTCAGTGGAAAATGATTCGTAAAA